TGAACTCTATTTTGTTGCATTCATTGTTCACTTATTGTGCAGAATTCTGGAGAAATCTCTTTGTCTGCTTATAACAAAATACCTTTGGAAGGGACAGATTTTTTTCCACTTTGCTTGTGAATTTAGTCCACTTGGAATTTGTGTCAGTGCTTGGACTGGAATCTAGGATTTCCTTAGAGAGGAATAAATCCTACATTAAAAATATGATGTTCGTTTTCATCGGAATGGTGCTCCTCAAGTGCTTTCTCAAGTACTCTTCCCCAGATAAAAATAAGAACCTTGCACAATATATATCCATCTACCCATATATGTAATGTGTATGCGTATTAACACATTGCCCTTTCCCACCCAAATGTAAAGCTTTACCCTTCAGTAATTAGTTTGCAGACTTAGTTGTTGCTTGTATTCTACCAGAAGAAGACAGCAAGTGTTCATGTCTGATTTGGTGCTCYTGCACTGGGAACCTGGTGGCAAGAGGCGGGAGCTGCCGGCACCTGGTGCCCTCCAAGGCTGAACCTGCCCTTTGGTGGTGGCACCTCCTGCTGGTCGCAGGGCTGTGCGCTGTACAAATGTCGGAGCTGAGTCGTTGATTTGGGCTTTAGCAAGGCCTTCAGTCCCTTATCTCACAATATTCCTGGGATTTTCTGGTTTGGATGAGTGAAAAGATGGCCACGTGGTCACGCTCAGAGGGAGCCGTGGAGGTTGGTAGCTGGTGGAGCAGCACGGGGGTTTGTGCTGGGACCTGTCCTCTTTAATGTCTCTCGTGGTGTCCTGGCAGTGTGTTCGGGCCCAGTTCTTAAGTGACTCCTATTTGGAGGACAGGGCAGGGCAAGCCAGGGTGGTTGTTGGGAGGGATCCCGCAGGAACCTCATGAAATGCATCCAGGAGGGAGTCTCGTGTTTTCGGGACTGTCAACCTATCAAGACTTGACAGCATAAAGCTCYGAGCAATCTGGTCTGGTCTCGTAGCTGAGCCTGCTTGGAGCAGGAGCTTGGGCTAGAGACCTCCCGGGATCTTTTCCATGCTGAATTATTCCGTGGTGGTGGATACAGTGATGTTGTGCTATTAATAGACACTGGCAATTTCCAGCATCTAGGAAAGCTGATTCAAATTAATCAAYGGTATCATTACACATGGACTGCTTGAGATTGCTTTAAGGTAAAGATGATGAGTTAAAAAATCCAGATTCCCATAACGTAGCTAATGCTTTAATAAGAATTAAGTAACCTTATTCAGAGTGTTTTCTGTAGGGAATTGTAGGGTAGAAAAATAGGGAGAGAAAATCGAGGCATGTGTTTCAGAGGACTTTGCTTATAAATTTAGGAAATCACTGGATGTATGAATTTCCCTTTCAGAGGAGGGATTCACGCGTGTTTGAAAGTTTATGCAAGGCATGTGGCAGTTAACCATGGAGGTTTATCGTTTTTGATGAGCAGCTTTTTGCCATTTGAAACAGGATCCGAGTACTATGATACCTTCTTGTATTTCAGTAGGAACACAGTGCAACTCGATATGTAGAAGTATTCCGATAGTTTGGTGGCAATATTATTTCAAATTGTAATACCTTTTAGAGGACATGGAATTGCTAAAATGGGCTAGTAATTGGTTAATGTTTTATTATTATCAGGCTTCCTTATTGAGATCAAAACTGGTAGTGTGATGGGATAACTTTTTAAATAACTGTTGTTGCTGAAAGTGGGCCTTTAGGATGCATGCAAAAGCTGGTATTGCTTGTGATTTCATATACACCCTTTTCAACATTTCAGTGTCACAAGAAAAGYGATATTGGTCAGATGTGGTCTTGAATGGAGTTTTTCCTAAGTTAAAAACTTTTTAGTGAGGGGAGGAAAGTATTGGTGAATGTAAAAACAGAGGGAGATGTTTCAGGGATCAGGTTCGTGTTCTCATTTCCATAACTGGTTCATCCTGGCTCAGYTGTTGCCTCCTCGCAGGCGCTGTGTGCAGGGCTTTGGGAGCAGCAGGGCGCTGATCAAAGCCTCTTGCCGCGGCGCGATGCGCAGCCTGTCTGCGTGCGCAGCTCTATCTCCCAGGGCTGCGCAGCGCCAAGAAATTCACCTTAGCCTAAAATATGCCCACAGAGCAGCTTTGTGAGCCGAGGAACACGCAGATGAAAGGTTTGAGGCTTGTCTGCTATTGTAGCTTCTTTGGTTCTCTGCACAGGCCTTTGTAGCCCTGCTCTGCTTCGCCTCATGAAGTAGAGGGTGAGATCCAGAGCTGGCTGATGGGAGGGAGCAGCTGCCCATGGAGCGGGAGCCGTTCCCGTAGCTCCCAGCCTGCTGGCCCAAGAGCTCGAGCAGGTATCAGCTGCCATCTGAGGCCTCTTCTCCTGCTGAGGACCCACGTGCTGCTCTCCTGCTCGGCACCTTGGTTAACGCTAAGCGTTCGGCAGGGCTGGGCCCCGCAGCGATGCTGAACGTACTCACCCACCAACTGTTGCTGCCCGTCCCTGCTCCCGSATCCACGTACCTAGTAGACTGGAACAGTCTTTAAGGGCCTGTTTTTTCCCCTTTTTGCTGTAACGTGTGTTGCACAGCAGGTCTCTGAGTGTGAAACTGCAGCACTTGCGCAGTGGGAATGAGGCACAATCCGCGCCGGGCGTTTGCTCTTACTGCATTGCTGGGCTGGGGAGCAGAGCTGGAATCCAGCTTGTGTTAAGAGCTGTTCACAGCTTTCCTTTTGGCACCCGAATGCTTGTTTTGACGGTTCCCTTCTGCAGCACAGAGCTAGACAGGGAAATGAATGAGTTTTCTGGCAATTTTTCAGATGTATTAGTTCTTTATTAACCATTATTTTCCTTTCAGCCTGTGTTAACATGCCCAAGTGCCATATGCTGGTGAGCAGACAAGTCCAGCACACACCCGAGTCGGATTATTTTGTGTTAGTTTTGATCTGTGTACTTTGCTTTTTTGCCCCGGCAGCTTTGTTTGTTCTCAGAGTGCTGGAGACAATGGAGACAGCCACCCACACCACGTGATGCTCTCTTCAATTCGGGATGATTTTAAACAAACTAGAAATTCGTGCTTGCTTTCGCTCTGTCTCTTCATAAATGGAACTGTTAGTGCAACTAGAAGCCTGAAACKTTGAGAAGGAGGAATTTGCTTGGGCAGCCTGAGTGTTCAGTGAGGGAAGCCCCTTTTCGTTTGAGCTGCTCGCTTGAATACTTGTGCAAGGTTGTTTCATTGGCAATGATTTAAAAATGTAAGAAGACTATATAAGCAGTGTCTGAATTTAAACGATTTCAGTGGTAGRAAGACCTGCTCTGATAGGCCTTACTGAGCTCGGTTTCAAGAAGACCATTTGTTTTCAAAGATGCTTCTCTACAGTAAGTGATACTTGTGGTACTTGGCCTGAACAAGTTAGAAACTGCTGTTCTTGGAAACACAACGAACAGTTAGAAGAGGTGTCCTGGGACATCACCTAGTTCCCTTGGTCTCTCCCGATGCAGCGGTCTGTAGGAGCAGCTCTGCTCGCAGCTGTGAGCTGCCGCTGGGGAGCCCGGGTTGCTGTGGCCAAAGGCAAGAGGTAGATACAGAAACTGCCCTGCGAGGGGCTGCCGTCCTGCTCGAGCCGCCTCTTCACCTCCTAGGTAGGTTTAAAAACAACAACAAGAACAAACCACGCAAACAAGAAACGATCCTCACACCCAGCGACGCAGGTGCAGCCCTGCAGACAGCCCCGCTTCGGATGCTCCGAGACTATCCTGGTGTGGTGGGGGGCTCTGCACAGTTTTCCCAAGGCAGGAGTTTTAGCGGATTTACTTCTCTTTCCTGTTAAAGAGGTCKCTCCTCCTGATGAAGAACTTGGCGGTGCTTTCTTCTTGTTCAATGTGTACGAAATATTCCAGAGAGCAATTGCATTTGTTGTAAATGTTTGTGTTAAACATTTAGGCCTTTGAAAAGAGTAGATGAGCAAAACTGAGACTCCTGTTTAGAAACAAAGGAGTCTGAAATGTTCCCATGCCATTAATAAGAACACATGGCAGTTTCCATTGCTGTTTCTGGATGCTTTGTTTTCCGCATGTGGTCCTTGTTTCCATTATGTGGGAACATGAAATTGTTAGTTACAGAATATTGAATAATATTATTTAAGCTGAAGGTTTTCTCATTTCTTTTCCTGTCTGCTTCTTAAAAAACCGTGTCATGTGGAATAAACAGAATAGGAATGACTGCATTTTTGGGGCTTTGCTAATGTGTTCATGTTGCCACTCTTCATGTTAATGTGCAGTTAGCAAATATTTCTCTTCTATTATAGAATGCTTTGGAGCTGAAAGGGTAGAGCTTAAATTTTAAGTACCTTTATAATCACAGTCAAGGAGTTAAGTGGGTGTACACAGGAAGTTGGAGATCTGACTTGCTTAGACTTGAGCTGAGTGGTGCAATATTCAAATAAACATGGTATAAATCAGAGCCAGCAATGCCTCTGTGCCCGTGTTCATTCCAGTGAACTTGCTGGTTCTTCTGCATGAGGCAGGGGCAAAGACACCTGCCTGGCTTTTACAAACTGTTTGTGTGCTGCTAATTTGCCCATTGGTAGAGCAGGGCTGCTAATGAGCTTTCTGCTAGTGTCCTGATAACTCTAACTACAGTGCAGATTTACAGAGTGCAGTAGCCTTTCAAGCAGCCATAAACAAGTGAGAGAAAAGAAACCTGGTCTTGTTTTGTTGATAGAACAGGAAAATTGCATTGCAATATCCAAATTCAAATATTAAAACAACTGCAAAGCGGTCTATGATGTTGTTTTTCTTAAACTAGCGAAAAAAAATCTGAAGCAGGTTTCTTGGAAAGCTTTTGGATAGTGTTTAAGATAAATTTAGTGTGTTTTTCATCTTTATAGAACGTCCAGCTACCAAACTCCACAGCCAGCTCTGTGTATTTTGCATTTTATACTTTTTACAGTTAGAAGACATGCTAGATGTATTTCACCTCTATGTGGTGCTTGGATTTTGTTCTCTTGGTAAGTGTGGGTGACAGGGTGGCTTGATGGTGTCGCACAAGGGTCTGCGCTGCCTTGGGCGCCTGGTGGCCCCGTGGCTGAGCGCCGGCAACACCRGGAACTGCCGAGTTATGAGTCAGTCGCCGCTCCAGGTATTATTTTTGGCTGCTTTAGATTGTCTAGTTACTGTTATTTAGGAAATTAGGAATATATATCAATTGGTTGTGATGGAGAGAGATGAATTGACCAAAACGTGACCACATCKCTGCTTGCAAAGTCAGTGCAGTAGCCCCTGCACTCGCGCTAGTGTGAGACCTGGTCCCGTCCTCGTTGCATTTAGCAAACAGTGCGTGTAAACACCCCCCTGCACAGCATGCAGCAAATGTGCACGGCGAGAAATGCAGGCACAACATGGAAAAGGAATTTAAATGTGAACATTTCTGCAGTTTAGGTGTTTCCCTTCTGTTTGAYCAGTTATTACGTGCAATTAATTGTTAAAATTTGGACTTGGCCATTCCCGTAGCTTTTCTCCGCCAGATGGCTGGTTTCAGTTTTCTGGGGGAGTCTGATAGAACTGAGCTCCACAAGATGTGGCCGAGGTCCTGCTCCCCACTGCCAAATCCTCGAGTTATGGGAAAACTTAATAGAGCAAAAGGGCCTCAAGAAAAGCACCACTTTGTGTAGTTTGCAAAAGGCTTTAATGAAAAGTTTCATTGTTCTTTCCTATTTACTTACCAAATCCTGCCTGTGTAAATTCTTGCCAAACTAGTTCTCTGTATTTCTTGTCTGGTCTTGCCAATGTATTGTTTTGTATAGGGGCCTTGTCAAACAGGAAAAGCGACCGCCCCTGCTCAGGTTATGGCACAACGTAGAGGTAAGGTAGGGGAAAAAAAAGTGGCCTATCTAAAACKTCTTATGCAATGTTGAGAAACTTTTAAAGGAACTAATTAGCAAAAGTATGCAGTGTATTTCTAAGCTATTTTTAATTCAGATTGAGCATGCTGAAATAGTGCAATAGTGGTTTGGAAGGTGACATTTCTTATTGATTCTGTAATGATGCAGGTTTCCTTACATCTGCCTGGGAGGTGGGGAATGGTTGGGATGGGAAGAGCAGTAGGAGGATGCAGGAGAGCTGGAGCTGGAGCTTGCAGGCTGGGTGCAGCCTGTTTTTATGGATTCAGTCAGGTCCCTGAGCTACCCTTGCACCTGATCTGCCTGTGGTAGCTCCGGTTTTGAGTGATGAGGTTCAACGATGCAGCCAGAAATTGCTGAGACCTTCAGCTAGGAAGGATCAGACTCTTTTAGTCCTCTTAGGAGTGTAAAACACTGCCCACYTTGCCAAGTGTTGCCTCTTAAAAGCCTCAGTCTTTGCATTGGRTGCAATGTCCCCTCTAGATGCCAGATGCAAGGGATGTTTTGCTGGACGATGAGGAAGAGCATCATTCCTGTTAGGCTACAAGTAGGTTTTTCCAAAGACCTGTCTGCAATGGGCTTTGCTTTGCAGCTGTTTTGTTAGGAGACTCGGAAGGATTTCTGTGCAAACCTGTTGCTTTTTTCCCCCTAATTCTATCTAAGAATATGAGTGAAGGGTTAGCATTTAACTGAAAGTCTATGCTAGTGCATGTGTGAAATACAATTAGACTTTACAGAAATCCTATTATAAAAAGGTATGTGTACTTCTCCAATGTGTWGGTGAAAAAGTAAATAAAGTAGAATTATTTTTAGTTATTTCTCACTTTTTATTTTACCAAACTAGATGAGAAGTTACGCTAGAAATTTTCTCCAAGATAATGGACGTATATGTGCATATATATTATGTGCAAAGCTAGCATTCTATCTTGGGAAAAGATACATATAGGATATTAATAAAAGGATATTGAAGGATATTATAAACAAAAAGTTTCACCTGATATTCTTTCATGCAGCATCTCCTTTTACGATTTCATGCAGCATGTGCTCTTAGGATTTAAAAATACATATGGATTTGGAAGAGTTCTGACTGTCCCATTTCTTGACGTGTTCCAGCCTTTCTTTCACCCTCAGGTTGATATTTTCAAAACAGTCAGCAACACCTGAAAAATGCTGGGGGTGCCCGTGACTGATCCCTAAAAGGGATTGAACAAAGTTCTGGGGGGGCAAATCCATTCCTGGCCAGGAAGGGGTAACTGCAGCACCTTAGAAACGCTCTCAGGAAAGGTTTTGTACCCGTTCCTGTTGTAAAACAGGTAGACCGAGGTCCTGGCTTTTAGAAGCCAGGCAGTTTGCAGCGTGCTGCAAATTCAGAGGTCCCCAGCGTGGTCACCTTGTGTGGCCGTGTCTGTCGGTGAGAAGTGGTGGGTGCTGGTGCTGCTCTGGGGGACGTGTGGGAGCCCCGGCCCGTGGCCAGGGCAGCCCTGAGCACCCCGGCAGCAGTGGGGAGCTGCTGCGTGGCAGCACTTGGTGGGTGCAGTGCTAATCTGTTAGTTAATGCTTGTCACTATGTTAGAAGTAATAGTGAAGGCTATAAGCTAGCTCCCCATTTATTTATATGCCTGTGCGTACATGTATGCATACACATATATCTGTATTTTGCATATACATGTAGCTTTTTTAATTTAAAATGTGTAAAAAATGTATTGCTTGTGTAATATTCAGATATCCCATATACCAACCTGCCAATGCTGGCAAAGCACTGCTGGAAATTCCTTTAGTACCATTTGAATGTCTTTAATATCATTTGAATAGCTGTAACATGAGCTGCTCTGCTGTGCCTGGGCTGCATCCCTGTGAGGAGGAGGCACTTGCCTCTCTCTGTGCTGTGTAAATCCAAAAGAGCTGGGAATGTCTCTACCTGTCAGTGTTGGGGCTGTGAATCAGCTAGGTCTGATAAAAGCTGGCAATGTAAATACCTGAATTAGGCAGATTAAAAAAAAAAAAAAGAACGAAACAACTTGAGCTTTACATCATCAATATAATATTTCCTTACTGGAGTATGACCTAAATAGATGCCTTAATATTGAGTATTTGTAGGAATAATATGTTAATTATACCATTTTTTTACATTTGTATGTGATATCTGATTTTTTTTTTTCCTTCTGTTATACAGGACCCAAACTACTGGATACAAGTGCATCGACTGGAGCACGGGGATGGCGGCATCCTRGACCTGGACGACATTCTCTGTGATGTGGCCGATGACAAGGACCGTGTAAGTACAGATGGTTATGGAGGAAGCTCAGAGTGCTGCATATGGTCACGCCAGCACGCAGCATTCCCAGGACACGCCCAAAAGGGAGCCTCGTGCAAAGGTTTTGCAGCGTTTTGTGCCATTTGCTCGACAGAAGTGGGAAGTCTATTACTGATGTGTTCTTGAAAAAGGTACCTTTTTGACAGGATGTCTGTTATTAAAATCCTGATTTTTCCCTCCTTTTTGGCTCTGCATATGTTAAAGCAAGAAAACACATCTGAAAGATAAAAATCTCACATGGGAGAACAATAATGGAAAAAATTGAATCTGTAAGTTAAGATTGTAGCTTTATTATCGGTTGTATACATGGAAAATACTTGCTGTTTTTGGAAAGTGGAATGTTGATGMATTGATTTTCAGAAATCTTCTGCGGAGGACTTGCTGGATACACAGAACATAAGGAGTTGTCCACTTGTTTCTGTTGATCTTGGTTTTTTGGTTGTTTTTCTTTTTAGCAAGAGTTTAGATCACAGTCAGCTAAGGGGCTTTTAGTTACTGGCTGTTGGAGATAATCAGTGTTAGTGTCTGTGAACTGCACATTTAAGTGCGGTGCGGTAAGAAATGCTGCTAGCAACCCGTAAAAGCTGTGTGTAAATAAGCTGAAAAGTGACTTTGTGAAGCCACGTGTGTTTGCTGAAGTTCTCGACCGTGCCTGAGCCTGACACAGATCCCATTTGGAAGTGGGTGTAGGACCCTGCTCTCCTCACCAAGAGCATCCGCAATTGTCTCTGCTGGAAGCAACAGACAGTCTGAAGACGGCTTGAAAATAGGCCAAAGGATGACTCTAAGGTTAATTTCTCAGACATAATTCTTTGCTTGCAGTTGTTTCTTGTGACAGAACTGAACTGGTGTGGTTATTTCAACCCAGACTTTAAAAAGAAACATTATATGAGGACGTGGTGACTCCCCACTGTCTGAAATGCTGGGATTGCTGGAGCTTTCTATAGTAACAGCATGGAGTTTTCAGGAATTTCTTCCATAAAAATAGTGCCCAGCTAAGGTTTCATGAAAAGCTGGATACTATGAAGCACTTTATCTATTAAAAGTTAACTAAAACCTCTGGTTACTTCCTCTCATTTCCAAGTGCTCAGCTGTACGATTAGCTGAGCTTTTGTGGGGGCTGCTGGAAGCCATTGCACACGTATTKCCCGTTAAACTTTTTTGACTCATGCCCTTCTTAGCTCCTCATGTGCTTCTCCTTTCAGAGAAAGCAGGTTAAATTCTGGTGACTTTAAGACCTCATTCCTTAGCTATTAACTTAGCTTTGCTGGCTTTGCTTTTGCTGGAGTGCGGTAATTCCCCACAGTGAAACTCTGTGGGTGTTTTTATGTGCATGACTAATAGGTGAAAAACTCGGAGTGCCACTGAAATAAGCRAAGTCATTATTGCAATATTGTTTTTCTGTGTAGATGGACAAGATACCCATTAACAACTACYAGTGGTATTTATTTCAGCGTTTGCCAAGCTCATTTCCTCTGATTTTGTGAATCTGGCCTGCCAGTGCTGATAGCTTTGATCAGTCAAATGTCATGCTTTTAAAGGTCCTTGTCGTGCTGATTAGGAAGGTGCAGCATAAACATGCACTGTGCTCTGGTGCTTTATATCCTTGAATTACTCATTCTCACTTGACCTTCACATTTGATTCTTTTCAAGCACAGCTCTGACTCTTTTCAGTCACCGCTTTTCAGTTGCCTGTCCCGTATTTTACAGCTGACCTTCCTGGYCGCCTGGCTGTTGGGTTTGAACTTACGTTTCCTCCGTAGCAAGTGTTTGAGCTGTCTGGTGCCGGCAGAAATGGGTGCAGGTCTCATTCCTGCAAGGTGCTTAATACAGCTCCAGGTAGTAACGTTTGGACACATACTTAAGAATATCCTCTTAAAAAGCATTTAAACAATTGAACTCTCAGTATTTAATTTATCATTTTAGGATTAGTTCTGTTCAAAGTTAAAGAGGTTTTTTTTTTTTTTTTTCTGAATTGGGATAAAAATACCTAACATCTTGCAAGAATAAAGTGTCAATGTCTATGTGTTCATTTTCACAAGAAGATCTTGAAATCCTTGCATACGAGATGGCTGTGCTACTTGCTRCCTGTTTGTACTTTTGACAGTTTATGAATCTTTAGAAGTGAGAATCATCCCCAAAGTGATGGTATTTTATTCACATGGTGTTTTATGTCGCTTCTGTGCCATAACTGCTTGTGCAACGTCATGCAAGCACAATGCAGAATGTGAAGCAGCGAGGGATCTTGCTTTCCTCAGAGTAAACTTATTATTTGGCATAGTGAGCTATATTAATAAAATACAAATCTGTAAGAAGAATATATTTACTCCTTTTCTGCTGTCTCCATGGAGAGTTTGTTTTATCCAGTAACAAATATAAAGATCCTTTGAGAAAGCAGCTGTTCCGAGTGGAACAGGAGAAGCATCGCTGTGATGGTCTCCTTCCCATTAAAATGCAGCATGATAGAGTGACTGAATTTAGCTGCTTCTCTCACTATATATATATATGTATGTATATGTATATATATGTGTGTGTATATATATGTGTGTGTGTGTGTGTGTGTGTATATATATGTATACACACACACACAGATATATGTATATATTTTCTCATTCCTTAGTAAAACAGTCTGGATGAATGAAGGTTAACCAGTTGCACTAAGGAATAGTTTGCAACGTTCAATGCAGTTCATGTTAAAAAGGGGAAAACTTCAAGGCTGGMGACACAGAGAAGCTGATTTTGTGAAGCTACCTGGTTCTTTCATAAGCAGCTTTTTGCAAGTCTGTTAGCGTAGTGCATTCAGACAGTGCAAAATGCATTGCAGCTTTGCTGGACTGCAGCTTCAGCATTCACATTACACAATACCACTACACGTGATGTTGATGGAAGTTCATTTTTCTTTTACTACACATAGATGCATCAATAAATACTAATTTGGATTTTTCTTTAATCAAGAACTTTATATTTGATGTTTATGTTTGTTATGGAAAGACAGTTTTCAATGAAAAATATATTTATAAAACAAATATACATCTCTTTCTGTATGCATGAGGGGAAAGGTCTTGAAAAATATTTGGCCTCTAGAAGCAAGAATCTCTTTTGAACTGGTAGCATTGCCACTAAATCCTCCAGATGAGCATATTTGGTACGTTATGAGGAACTCCTTGAAATGCTTTGGCACATGAATATCTAGTCTCTGGATGGCAGAACAAAAAGGGAAATCACTCCCTTCAATTTGATTTCAGTCAGCCGAGTACCTCATTTCCATTATTTTATAAACATATGGTTCTTGTACGTGCATTTTGTCAGCAGATTTTTTAAAAATGTGTGTGAATACGAAAAAAATTGTTTTGGCTTCTGTTGTTTGTAAAAATAGCCTTTCATTTGATGGTTCTCAAAAAAACATATGTCACCTTGACAAGTTTCCAACTAGATGACAGCATATTTGATGACCTCAGTTCAGTTCTTAGTAGGCAGATAGTCTCGACAACAGAAAGGAAGAAAGGAAGAAAGGAAGAAAGGAAGAAAGGAAGAAAGGAAGAAAGAAAAAAAGAAAGAATAAACCAAAATGAAAATTCCCAAGTCCATCCTTTTGACATACGGGTTTTTCTTTTGTGTGAATGTGTGTGGTTTTTTTGTGTGAGGCTGAAGCACATAGACCTTTCTGTGGTCTTCATATTTGTAATATGGAGGTAATTTGTAATATGAATTCTTATTCAAGAATCTTGTAGGCCCTTGTTTATCCCATAGAAATAATAGCGGGGAAATTGGTGTGTGATCTCCCGTTTTACAGGTGYGTGCAGGTTTGAATATGCGCCTACTCTCAGCTGAATTCTCACTGAAATTGTCACTTACAGTGAACAATTTTAGAAAATTAGTTCATGTGCAATTATATATTAGCAGCTGCAGGGGTTGGTGTGCACTGTGGCAAGTAGTGCTGTTTTGAAGCACACTATGGTATGAAATTCATGGTAATTATTTCTAAGCTTATTTGTGCAATTGCATGATATTTTTGGTAACTTGAGTAATCTTTTAACTGTAAAAAGATCAGCATCTTATGATTTCACTTATCACTGTCCTTATAAATGCAACACTCTGTTTCTCAAAAATAACTACTGGTTAATTTACTGCATTTTAGTGAGTATTTGTTAGTCAGAGTTACAGTCTGACTGTTGCTGTTGGAACTCGGGTTTGCTTTGCTTGCCCTCTGAGTAGGAAATATTCAGCCTGTTCTCCAGCCTGTGCAATTTGTATCGACCCTCACTGAGTTCAGGGAAAGGAAAGCAAGATTTGGGAAGGCAGCAATGTTGTTTGGTGCTGTGCAGAGTCAAGCTTCGTGGGCACCTCTTGGTAGCATCCAGGGCTAAGTTATTGGCAGGTCAAGGAGCTGTTGGACATTGTGGACATTGAACTTCATAGATGCTCAAGGAGCTGCAGTTCTGTGTGGCAGACATTCATTTAGCAGACCTGTGTCAAAAGGCAGTTCGTGAACATTCGTAATCTGGAGTTATATTAAGTAATGAACGTGCTGCTGAAATTCAGTGAGATCAGTTGCATGTTATTTGCATCCCCTACAAAGACACAATTATTAATATTGTTAATTTAATACCTGCTCATTTCCAGGATGACGAGAGAAAGCTTTAGCAGTTTTTTCTTCATGCAGCATGAAGATGTGCCAGGAGCTTTTCCCAGGACAGTGGGAAGGACATGAACTTTGGGTTTTAGTGCTAGGCATGTGGTCAGTTCTAAATAATACTCTTGTTTTGGTTACCTCCTCTTGGAGAGCGCCGTTGAGTCRGACACGAGATATACAAAATGTGCATCTGGAAAGGATGGCTGCGTTTGTTTGTGACAAATGTCAGCTCAAAACCAACACAGAAAATAGCTCTGATTTGAGCAAATGCATTGTAATCTTGTGGCCAAAGGCTGGCTTGGGACTGGAGAGCTGTGATTACAGTCTC